ATGTTCTTTTTGTTTTTAATTATATTATGTAGTTGTAGATATATTATAGATATATTGTATGACAATTGTAGATGTGGTATAGTTTAGATTGGAGCTGTGTATTAATAAGAGATTAATTATTTTTTCTGCATAATCTACATTTTTTTGCACCTCATAATGTTGATTATGGGGTCCTTAGGTTTCAGATATTATCCGACCCTAGTGTTCTAGCCAAATTAAAGAGTTATTGTCTCCAAATGGTTTATAGCTTTTCAATAAGACATGTTTTGGTTATTTCCTGTCAATTCCCAAAATATGTATGCAAAACCAAGTTATTCATCTTCTAATGAAGTATGAATTGAATGCATCTGGTGTTTCTTATTTTTCAACTGAGTTAAAGGGTCAGAGGTTGAATTTTGGCTTGAGAGAGTTTGCGTTAATAACTGGTCTTAGATGTTTTACCCAAGTGACAGACTTTGGTTACACTCCGGATTATAACAGTAAGATAATGAGGAGTTATTTTCCAAACAAGGAAAAAGTGGAGAAGTCATACCTAAAATAGATTGTAACCAACAGAAGCTGGGTAAATGATGAGGACGCAGTCAAGTTATGTATTCTATATCTCATAGAGTTCTTCATTTGTCCTTCAGACAAAGACAATGTTGGGTTGGTAGACAATTTTAGGTTTTATTTGGTGGACTCCGGACAGTATGCGACATACCCATGGGGTATTGAGTCTTACAGACAGTTGATTGAATCAGTTAGGCACAGACTCAATCCTTTTGTTCATTCTTATCTCATTCGAGAATTCGCACTAGCTATGCAAGTATGGTTGTACGAGTGTTGCTCTACAGTCAACACTGATATAGCTATAAAAGTTGTTAATTCAATCTCTCGCATACTTAACTGGTCAGCTAGTAAGGACAAGATATGGTTAGCTGCAATTGAAGATAGAATGATCAAACCTGAATTGATCAAGGTAAATGATTTTTATTTATGACTATACAATTTAATACAAATTATCTACAATTTGTATATATATTCTATTTAGTCCAGCTAATTTGTTTTTTTTTCCATTCAGTTCACCAACATAACTAAAGTAACTGAAGAGCTTCTATGATGTCTTTGCCTGATAAAGTTGAGTACATACTTGAAGAAGTTGAACACATTTCTGAGGATCCGAAAGTTGATGCTCCTCTATTAGAACCCAAAGAGTCAATTGGAAAAGAGGACAAGAAGTCTATTCTTAAACAAATTAGAAAATTAAAAGAAGGTCTTGAGAAGGTAACATGTATACATAAAATTGTACATGTTCTTTAATGTATGTTAAAGCCATATTTTGAAGTTAACTCTCTATATTTTTTAACATGTAGGTTGATTCAGATCTTGCACCTTTCAGGAAAGACGTCTTTGAAGAACTAAGCAGCCTTCGAGAGCTACTAAATGACTCTATCAAGTCAGTTTACAGGTGATAAACCGTCGAAATGATAACATTGATGCCAAGGTAATATTTATTAGTTTATTCATTTAACAAAACTATTTATGTCACCTCTAAGTTATATTGTTATTCATAAAATAGATATCTTAACTAATATAAAACTTTCTGTTTGCTGGGAGCTCTACAAAAAATGCTGACCACCCAAAAGAAAAGAACAATCAACAATTTCAGTGCACTAGTGGAGAACCATTGCATGCCAGTAGCAGCAAAACATGTATATATAAAAATACATACATTTTATCTATAAATTAATACAAGTTATCTACATCATACATACAACATGTCTTCATATTATTTAAGATATATTTACAACATACATACAATTAAATACAATATATTTATACAGATCTACAGATTTATGTAGATCTCTATAAGATACATACATATCTCCTAAAAATGTCAAGCAACTACTATCCATTATAATTCAAATACTTTAATGAGAAAACAGGGCATGTGAATGACATGGAAAATAATGAGAATCTTCCAGCACGTGTTGATTTATATTCCCATTTTGAAGGTGCAGTTGATGAAGAAAATGCAGGTATGAAATTGTATTCAGAAATTTTTGCTTTCCGTTTCAATTTTTTTTTACTATTCTATTAAGCTAGCTATACTAAATGTAACAGTGAGGGAAGATATGCATGCAGAATCTCCAATTTACGGAGTCACAGTAACAATTCAAGGAGAACAGAAGAATGAGGAAGATGTTAATGTAGGTGAAGAAGCCGAGTATGTAAATGTAGGTGATTCAGATGACTTCAGAGATGAGAAGAAGGAGGTTACACTTGATGATTTTGAGCTGCCGGGTAACTTCTCCCAGTTGGTTAAGTTCGGCGAGCCTAACCAAGATGAATCAACACATGTGCATCAAGGTAGAACAAGGCAGCCTGGAAAGCATGCCCGATCAGCATTTCTACCTTTATACAGTTGTGGTGGCAGCACTTCGATTGGACCTCTAATTTTTCACCTGAAGCACTCATTTACTTCTGTTATTGGTCAAGATGTTGATCTTGAGTTGTTGGAAGATTTCAGCAAGTGGTTATACTTTGGTACCGACAAAACTTCAAAGAGGTTTGTTTTCACAATTTGACCATTTGATTCTAGTATTTATCTTTTAGATATCTACTTCATTCAACAAATTTATTTAAATTTCTATTTGTTTCAATATGAGGAAGGCTCTGTATTTTATAAAGGATAACCAAATTAAGTCATGATTTGATCTTGGAGTGGAAAAGGTTGATAAGAAGAAGTGGTTCTATAATATGGCACACCCCGACCAAGTCTTCAACCACATAGTAAACTCATACTCAAAATATGTAGTTATTTTGTTGAATTTTTCTTTATTTGTATCTATAACACTGTTATAGTGCCATTTCTAGTATATGTAGTTATTGTGTAAATATATTGGAGATATTCTGTATAAATGCTTAACATCAAACTGAATTGTCGGTATATTATAGATGTTTTGTAGATAATTTGTATTAATGCCTAATATCAAATGGAATTGTACTTAGTTTGTATATATATATTTTAGATAATTTGTATTAATACCTAATATCAAATGAAATTGTACTTAGTTTGTATATATATTGTAGATAATTTGTACTAATGATTAAAAACAAGTAAAATTATAGTTTGTTTGTGTATATTCTGTAGATAATTTATAATACTAATTTAAAACAAAATGTAGTTGTAGTTATTTTGTAGTTTTTTTGTAGATAATTACCAAAAGGAAATAATTAAATATAATCTATTTTTGTTGCAGCACATTGATGTTATAATGTATTGCTTAAGGAAAAGAGAAAAGTATGGCCCCCGCAACAAGATAAGGTTTACTACCACTGATTGCTTGTTCAAGACTAGAATTGAACAAATTTATAATAAGTTCATCAATTCTCCTCAAGAAAAGAAGTTTGTTGTTGTCAAACCCTAAGACGTCATAGCAGAATACATATTGGGGTACAGATTGCTGGCAAATGTTGCATGGGATCAAATTGATTATGTGATTATGCCCGTCAATATTGTAGAAAAAATTCACTGTGTGTTGGTTGTTTTTGACATTGCCGATAGGGTTCTTTATGTGTATGATTCTACGGTCTCTTCACATAATCACTCTATTGTTGAATTTGTAGTCACCAAGTTTTCTGTTATGATCCCCCTTTACTTGTCATGCACCGATTTTTATGGCAAGCGATCAGACATCAACTTCAAGAACACAAAGGCATATATTGAAAAAGATGTTACTGACCCTATTGACATTCAGTGGAACGTCAGAGAGATACCACAACAAAAAGTAGGATCACTGTATGAAAAATCTTATTTCTTTCTATCTATTTAACATTTTTTTTGTTCATTGTTTGCTAAATATTGGCACTTTTTAAATTTTGCAGCAACTGTGGTATATATGTTGCTGCCTTTGCAGAGTATGTCAGCATTGGAGACCTAGCAGTTACTGTGGATGACCTTTCTGATATTGATCAACATCGTAGACGCTAGGAAGCGCTACTGTGGGACTACGCTAGAAAGAAGTAAGAGAATGGTGCAATTAATGAAAGTGAGGTGACTGACAGATTAGCAAGGAAAAAAAGCGCACCAGTTGTGAACGAGAAAACACAAGTCTTGAGGAAGAAGAATTAGTTGCAATTTTTTGTATGGAACTGTAGTTAAACTGTTTAGTTGCAGCTAGTTTTGTAGAAAGATAGTAGACAAGTTTATGAACAATATTGTTGAAGTTTAATTGTAGCAGATTTGTGTTTTAATTATTTTGCCCCTTGTTTTTTTATTTTATCCAGTATACTAGTTCGATCAATGGAGAAACATTCTGTCGTTTTTATATTCACTTGTTGAAAGTAAATAGTACTTGATCTAATTATTGTTACTGGTTAACTCCTTTTCAACTTAATTATTATGTAGTTACTCTGCCAACTCCAGATTATGTAGTTATTTTTTAGTTTTTATGTAGATAAATTGTAGGGATCATTAACAACTATCGATGGGTGCTGGAGATAATAAAATAACTGTGTACTACATATATACAAATCATTCACAAATCAATCAAGCTATGAAAATATTAAATTAATACAGAATACTAATTAAACAGAACAATATCAAACTAATTACATTAAGAATTGAAGGTGCCTCAACAATTACACATCAAATATAATTCTCATGAACTCATCAACAATTTTTATGAAAAATTCAGTTTATTACATAAAATTTTATTTCTTTTTGGGAGAATTCTTGCAAGATCTTTTGTTATGCCCTTCTACTCCGTAGTTGCCATATGAAACCTTATACTTCTTTGAATTTACTTCATCATATGTTTTGTATCTTTGTTTTTGAGGTCTTCCCGGCTGTCTTTTCTCACTTAAAGGTGGATTTACAACTTCTTCAATTATATATTGTGACACATTCCATTTGCTTTCATCAGGTAGGGGATTTACTGGTATTTCATAAGTACGCAAGAGGTTCTAGGTTGTGTAATAAGGAGAACAATATTGTTCATAAGACTCATCCATGTGCCTTAAAGCAGCCAAAACATGTGGACAAGAAAGTTCGTCAAGCTGGAATTGCCACAACTACATCTCTTGTTTTCAAGACAAACAATATAGCGCCTCACACCATCTAGTACTGTATGGATGTAGTCTGTTGAAGCCCTCACCTACAATTACATTACAAACAAAAAATAATTCATATACGGTTAAATACAAAATATTTACAAATTATCTACATTCTCTTTTAATAATTTATTTTGATGCAATAAATGATCAGATCTTACTCTAAGTTTGTGCGACAATGTTCTGTTGTCATCCAACTCTTTGTTGAATTTAAACCCAAAGTATGTGAATGTACCCTTTGCTTTCAATAACTTTTCATTAGTCCAGCGTTCAAGAAGAGTCCTCATATACTCTAATAGTTCTACTATCGGCAACTCTCTTGCATCTTTTGTTACAACATTCAACGACTCTGTAATGTTTGATGTCATAATCCAAGTTCTGTTCACCGTAGCATGTACTCGAGACCATCTATGATAGCCAATATCGTATAAGTATGCTTTAACACGCGGGTCAATCTCTTCAATCTTTGACATCCTTTCATTAAATTCATCAAACGTGTATGACCGTGCCGTGACAAAGTACAATTTGCTTGACTTTAGATGACCCTTCTTGAACTTTGCCCTTATATTTGTCCAAATATGCCACATGCAAGAATAATATGGCATGTCGGAATAAACAATAGATGTTGCTTTCAAGATACTCTCATTCCGATCCAAAACAACACACATATTTGGTCTTTCACCATATGCATGTTTGAATTGCTCCAGAAACCACTTCCATGATGCGTCATTTTCTAAATCAACAACAATATATGACAATAGTAATATGGTACCTACATTATGTGGCAAAAAGCAATTAATTGGCTGCAGGAAAAATGCAGAGGAAGACATATACATACAAACAACAACTTTTCAACAATATATCTACAATGAATCTACAAGTAGTACAAAAAATAGACAAGCTATAATATTTCTACAATAAAACTACAATACTTGTTGCATCCATTGTATTAGCCGTTAGCATTATTCTCATATATGCTGACTTTAAGAAGGTTTCATCAACTACTACAACTGGCCTACAATATTCCCAACCACTGATTGACGTACAAATCACAACAAATACATATAAAAAGTAGTCATCTTCCGTCTTCTTCAATTTAACTACAGATCCCGGATAAGTCTTCTCCAGAATATACAAATAACTAGGCAATTTGCTGTAGGAGTCAGCAGGATGGCCTCTCAAAAACTCCAAAGCCTTTTCCTTTGCTCTCCAAACTTGCATGTATGTTAACTTCATGCCATGTTCAGACAACATATCAGTTTGTATGTCTTTTGGTGCGTAAAATTGTCTTAGGATCAGCATATTTTGGAATAACCATGCTACCAACTACCATGACAGTAGGTTTGCGTTGTATGAATGTACTGTCCATCAAAGAGCATGTGTGCAAGTTGTTGAAATTTCTAACCTTGAACATTGCAGAATCATTTATGCTAGTTGCCTTGAAGTGCCATGTACACTTTTCACCAACACATACCAACCAGTAGCTAAAAAAAACAATTTAAACATTGGTATAAAAAATGTAGATAAAAAAAATAATTGTAGTGTAAAAGATCATATTCAACAATTTATATACAAAACAACTACAAACTATCTACAATTTTGTTAAACAATATCACCCAAAAAACTGAAGAAGTAAAAATTTACAAATAAACTACAAAATAAAAAAGAATTGCAAGTGCAATGTTTCTACCTTCTAGCACTAGATCTTTTCACCCTAAATTGGAACTTGTTCATGACAGAATAGTACTTCATTGCACTAGCAATTGTTTGTTTGTCTTGGTATACTTGGCATACTTCAATAACACTTGGTGTACTTTCTGTTATTATTATACTTTCATATTCCACTATCGCCGGAGATGCTGGAATATCAATTAACTTCAGTGTTCTAGATGAACCTGCAATAAAATAAAGCTAAATACTGTTATGAACTATTTTTTGTAGAAATTTTGTAGTTAATTTGTAGACATATTGAAATTCTAAATTTCATATTGAGCTACAAATGGTATGTAGCTTTATTGTAGAAATATTGTAGTTAGAATGACATTCAAAACTCATATATATATATATAGTCTTTGATATGTAGTTTTTTGTAGAAATATTGTAGATAATTTGTACATAAGTAATATACAGCCAAAATTCGATAGCAATGTAACAGAACAAACCTGCAACTGTGTTCGAATTGGTGATACTCAATTCCAAATTGAAATCACGTACTGTTATACATAGCGGATAGCTTCCTAAGCTTTTGTTTTCCTTTTTCGTCTCCATGTATACATGAACACCCATATCGTTCCTAATTTCCATTGGAGGACAATGTTCGTTGACAATGTATTTGATTTCTATTATTTTTTCGGTCATTAGATGCTCTGCTATTGTAGAATTCAATAGGCTATAACTCGCATCCTCGTCGACTACAATTCTATCGACCTGAAAGTCTCTATATCTACCATAGCTATCCCAATTCCCATTCAGTTGAAGCATAATTGGGATTTTCGACATAATTGCGGTTGTTACAGAAGAATTGTAGCTAATTTAGTCGCTTTTAAATTGTGAAATCAGGAAAAACAGTGAAACAGAGTATTGTCGTAAAAACAGAGTAGTGAATTTTGTAGAGAAACGGGCAAAATTTAATAGCGAGATTTGTGTTTGATAAAATCTGGAAGAATCCTTAATATCCCAACATTCGCGCGCCTATTAAAGGAATTGTACAACTAACAGGATTCTGTTTCTAATGATTTGTTTATATTTTGTCGAAAAATTGTTAGCAGGGCGGGTAATTTGCAAACTATGAGCATTTTTCGTAATATAGTTTCCTATATGGTATAGGAACGAAAATTTCCCTTCTGAGAATGACTCGGTCATGTGAATGAGATGGTTATTATTTTTAAAGTGCCATGACGGAAGGAAAATATGCTTAATCTCCAATCATATTTCTAACTTTTAGCTGTGATAATTTAGTATATAATATGTGTGCAGAGGTTCAAGACGATGGGTGTATTACTGGAAAAAGGTAGATTTAGGAATTAAATTTGATTGTTTCAACCTTTAGGTTCTTACCCAAATTCATAATACTTTTTTTGGTAATAAACATCTTTGTATTAACCATCAATTTAAATATTTACAAAGCAGTAGATCACAATGACCTACTTCCAAACTAGATAAAAAATATCTCAATCTAATCTTCATGGCCTCCTAACCTCATTTTATACAACTACTCTTACGATGTTAAGCTATTTAGCATTAACATTTTGTAAGAAGGACACGAGTATAACCCTCAGCTCTAATATTGCACATGCAGACCACTCTCCTGGCAAGGACATCCTATGTAGTTGCTTGCTTCTCAACGACCCTTGCATTCCTCTCAATCCATGTTGTGTGAGTATACTCTGCATACACTAATTTGAAAAGCATGACCACCTGAGATCACCCCTTCGTTTTCATTACAATACAATGATGCCAGTAGTCCACGATATTGTAGGAGGGTGTTGAATATGTAGCCAATGCATGAGTTTGGTCCATAAGCTTCTACCATATGCACATTTTGCAAATCTATGATTTCTTATTTCTGGAGTTTGATTGCAAAATCAGCACTTGTCTTCCACTTGCATACCCCAGTTCTTCAATCTGTCAGCAGTTAGCAATCTTCCCTGAACTTGTAGCCACATAATGAATACTGCTTTAGGTCGTGCTTGATTCTGATACGTTAATCATTTCCATTGAACTTTAGGCAAGTCCTCTAACAGTTGCAAATATACCTGTTTGATTATAGTCCTTTGATGAGCTGGGTTATTGCTGATGACATCCAGATTACTCGTTGCTCCAAATATTTTCCTGACCATCCAAAATGCCTGCTTTGGAGCTCCCATGGTTGCAAAGACTTGATCCTTTATGTAATAGCTATGGATCCGTTTGATCCAAAGCTTGTCTTTCTTGTTTGCTAATTCCCAGCAAGATTTTGTGATTGCAGCCTTATTCCATAGTGGCAAGTTGATCAAGTTAAGCCCCTCTTCTGCTCTAGATGAATAGATCATATCCCATATACTAAAGCTTTTTTAGTGATTGTATTCTCCCCGACCACACATAGCTTCTACAGTAGGCATCAATTGCCTTGATAACTTTAGCCGGAATGATGAATATTTGGGCCCAATAAACTTGAATACCAAAGATTACATATTGCACCAATTGAATTTTGTCTGCATATGAGAGCTTCTTTGCTGTCCAAGAGGATATCCTGGCCACTATTTTATCAATTAGTGGATGTCATTGCATTACAGAGAGCTTCTTTATATCAAGTGGTATGCCAAGATATCTGAAAGGGAGAGTTTCTTGACTATAGCCCAGTGTCTGCGGAATGTCATGTGTTCACCTCTGAGCTGACCCCTCCATAGTAAATAGAACTTTTTGCCAGGTTAACTTTAAGACCAGATGCTGCTGAGAAGAGATTGAATTTTTCATGTAAGAGTGCTACAAATATAGCATCTCCTCTTGTAAATAGGAAAAAATCATCCGCGAAACGCAAATGAGGTAAATCCAGCCTTGAACCCATTGGATGATAATAAAAAGCCTTCTCTTGCTTCAAAGTTTTCAAATTCCTACTCAAGTATTCCATTGCTATGGCAAACAGAAAGGGAGACATATGGTCCCCTTGCCTGAGCCCTCTAGCTGCATCAAATAACTTAGTTGTTTCCCCGTTAATGAGTATAGTATAGTTAACAATTGTCACATATTCAAGAATCCACTTAGTGAATTTGTCTGGGAAGCCCGAGCCTTCTAGCACTTGATGTAGGTACCTCCAATCCACTGTATCATAAGACTTTTGAATGTCCACCTTGATGAGACATCTTGGTGAAATATTCTTCCTATAATAAGTCTTAACCAGCTCATGAGCAAGTAATACATTATCCGCCACCTTTCTGTCTGAAATAGACCCTGCTTGAGTATCAGAAATAATAGAAGCTATAACTTTCTGAATTCTGTTGGCCAATACTTTGTCGATGAGTTTGTATACTACTGTGCAACAAGTTATTGGCCTGTACTCTTTAATGCTTAAAGGGTTGGGAACTTTAAGAAGTAATGTGATAGTTGTGCAGTTGATTGCTCTAAACAGCTTCCCTGATTGAAAGAACTCCCCGACTGCTTGACAAATTTCTGAGCTGAGAAGTGGCCATGCTGATTTGAAGAATAAGGCATTATATCCATCTACCCGTGGTGATTTATCATCTCCAATAGCACACAACCCATCATAGATTTCCTGCTCAGTAACTTCATCATAGAGATTGACCTGTTGCATATGATTGAGCACTAGTCCTAGCTTCACTACCTACGTGTTTATTGCTGGCAAATGGACTACAATTGGTCCCATCAATGACTTATAAAAGTCAATGATCTCTTCTTGGATCTAGTGATAGTCAGTAAGTCTATCTCCATATGTATTAACAAGTTCTGTAATGACTTTTCTTTATCTTCTTTCCTTCATAACTGCTGAAAAATACTTGGAATTTGAGTCTCCCAGTCTTATCCATTTAGCTCGAGCTTTCTGTTGAAGGATACTTTCTTCTATTAATGACCATTTCTCTAGATTATCTAGGAGTAGTTTCTCTTGAGCAACTAGTTTATCTAAGTAGCAGCTAGGCATTTGAACTTGAATGTCTTGCAGCCTCTGCCTGTGTGATCCAGCATATCTTTGATGCCTCTGAATTCAGTGTTAATTAGTTGCCTCAATAGTGGCCTCAAAGCCTTCAACTTATACCAAACATTCTTCGTAGGATATGTACTTAGGTGATCTTTCCACACTTCTTCTACCAATGCCAAGAAGTTTGGATGGTCAGCCCACATATTGAAGAACCTAAATGGGATCTTACCACTTGGTCAAGCTCTTCTCATTGTAATTACCATGGGAGCATGATCTGATATGAATGGCAATCTGTATTCAACTTTCATGTATCCATATGTTTGCATCCAGTCATTACTACCAATAGCTCTATCTATCCTGCTATAAACTTTAGTAATACATTGTTTTTTGTTTGACATGTGTAAAATCCCCTCTTCCAAGGTAACTCATTCAGGTTTAGAATGTGCATATAGTCTGAGAAGTCTTGCACTTCATTGCATGTGACTGGATTACCATAAAGTCAATCCTGAACTGTTAAGACTAAGTTGAAATCACCCCAAATGATCCATGATTCAGAGCTTTGTATTGCTAAGGATTGTAACTGTTGCCATAAAGATTTTCTCTAATAAATGGTGTTGAAGCCATAAACTACTGTCATGAGACAATGCATTGGGATATTTCTACCTACAATCCTACAGTGCATTAGTTGAGTAGGCTGCTCTAGCACTGTAATATCATAGAACATGGGATCCCATAACATCCAAATTCTCCCATTGATAGCCTGATCATAATTGTATCTAGTATGCCAACCTGGTACCACTAGCTGAGCTATGTGATCAACCTTTTCCTTCTTGGCTATGGTTTCTACTAATCCTACCAACTTAATATTATTCTCTTTTATATAGGTACAAAACTCTTTTTGTTTGTATATTTTGATGGTACCCCTTATGTTCCACACCATCCAAGACATCGGGGGGTGGATAGGACCACCTGTAGCAGGTGGTCTCAAGTAAGCCATCACATCTGGACTTGGTTGTTGTTGCGGCCCTTGCTTTCCATGAGACAATATTGCTTTAGCATAGTTTATTGAAACCCCATTGATCTCTATTGCAATCTTCCCCTTTTCTAGTTGTCTTTATAAGCCTTCCTCTGTTAGCTGTTTCTCCTCAAGACTCTCAGATTGCTCAGAAGTACACTGTACTTCCTTGCTTGGCATATCCACCCGCTTTTTGCTTTCTCCTAAGGTAGAAGCTATTGGTGCTTCTTTAGTCTTCCATACTTGCTTCACTAGTGGTGGCCTCCTTTTCCAGGACTGTTGGTCTTGTTTAACTCCTTCTTTGGGAATCTTTGCACGGTCATGCCCAGTTTTGAGGTACTTTTTACAAAATTTCGGCTTCCAATCATATTCAACAGCTTGTTCAAACACTACACCTGATTTATCCATTACTAGAATCTTGCTTGGTAACATTTACTTCAATATGTATCCTAGCAAAGAAAATTCGTGATTGTTTGGCAGTACACTCGTCTGCAAATATTGGAATTCCTATAGTACTTGCAATTCTACCCAATGAGTTGTCACTCCAACAGTTCATTAGGCGGCTTGGGAAACCTTACATGTAGAGGTATTTCTGTCAAGAATTCTTAGCCAAAATTGAACTGTGGAGACCATTCCTTC